GAAGTCTTGTTTCAAGACTTCAAGACCACGGCCACACAGCCCGGAAGACCCACACCAGCCATCAGAGCAGACACTCAGAAAATGTCAAGCTTTTAGGACATAGAACTGCAAAGGAATTGTGACAGTAGGCCTAGGCAAAGATTTGATTCAAAGATTCAATATAATGAAGATCTCTTTGAGTCATTCAGATCAGATTTACAAATTGAAATGGTGACCTGACCAGATAGTTCTAAATCTCCTGGATCTCTCTAAACTGATTCAGAAATGTTGTGGTTTTTCTCCTGCTTATGAGTTTTGAAAAATGTAGTCTTGAAACTTGTATCCCACAAATGGAGAACACTGAGGGGAGTTAAGTGGTGTGATAGGCTCTCTGAGACAGACATAAGTAGCCAGCCAGTCAGTTTAAAGTTTTATTAAACTCTCTGCCCTTCTGAATGCTTTTGGGGTGGCAAGGCTATGCTTCACTTTGGCCTTCCTTCTCTTTAGCAGTTGTTTTACTATGGCCAGCCTCAACTTTCAGTTTTGTTCTCTCTTCTGCTAATCGAATGGTATACTCCTGCATTGGTCCTGCCAACACAACTGGGAGATCACCTGTGTCAGCACTCTGAACACAGGAATGAGGTTGACAAATCCAGCCTTCTATGCATTTTGGGGTCAGGTGTTACTTTTACAGTCCAAATGACTAGGACAGGTTCAAATCTCTCCCCATTACAATGAGTAAATTTGTGCAGGTGCTGATTCAATTATTCAGTGCTTTCACTTTCTCAGATGTTTTGCTACAGCCAGCCAGCCAGCCAGCCAGCAACTCTCTTGTGCTAATGGAATCTAATTTGTTCTGGGCCAGCCTCTTTCACGTTGTCCTACCAAGCTCTGTGCCATTCTATGGCAGTGCCAACCTGCTTTTAGGACTTCCGTATTATGTGGCCTGCCAGCTGCCACTCTGATGCAACCGGGTTCTGTCAGGACTGAGGGGGTTTCTTAATGGGGCAGACAACCTTGCCATCCCCTCCGAGGCTCCCCTGGAAAATCAGGGATCAGAGACAGAAAAGACATACAACTCAATAGGGACAAAAAAAAAAAGTCTGTGGCACCCCAGAAAAACATGTGAAACAGTTTAATTTTAAAATAGTTTTGGATTTTAAATGTTTTTGACAATTTCCATTTTTAAATTGGAGTCAGACGCCACATTGGCTCAGCCATGATCTTGTTACAAAACATAGAATTTGGAGGCTTTTTGTGTTGTTTTTCCTTAGCCTTGCTTCCTCAACTGTGAAAGAAGTATTGGGGAATTTTTCCAAGTTTTTACTGTGGTTAAAATCCTTGAAGCCATCTGGCTAAAACTGGCAAGGTTAATGTCTTCTAAAGGTTCAGCCATCCTTATGATTTTCATCCTGTTCTACCAAAACATTGCACGTGATTTTGAAATGTCTCAGTTAAAGCTTAGGAACAGAGATTTTTCAAACCTAATCTGTATCTTTGAATTTAATTGAACCAGACCAGATTGCCACCAGATCTTGAATCACCACCTAAAACCTGTTTTATTAACTGTAAGGCTAAGCCACACACTAGCCTCTTTGACAATCTGAACCAAAAGCTATTTTAAAATGGCCAGTTCATTTTTGGAGTGGTTTTTTTTTTATTGAAAACACATATAAATACATCCTTGTTTTTCCAAACATTAGTTTTCATTGTATTTTAATTTTAGTATCGAAATGGAGTCTCTGGGAGGCGCTATCTCTAAAATTATTTCTTGGAGATTTGCAATCAGCAATGGCTGACAGCAGGGATATAGGAATAATTCAGATATGATCTGTATTAGTGTCTGAAGGTATCTATGTATTGTTCTGTTTGACTCAAATCTTTTGTAATATTTCCAACAGCAAGAAATCCCACTTTAACTGCATCTATTTTTCTCTAATATATGGAACTTTCATTAAACTTTGCTAAACGTGTTATTTTTAAATGCAACTATATTTTTTTAGAAGTGCCCAAATATAGTTTAAAAAATGCAACCCTCCTAAATATGTATACATTTCTGGATTTGTTTTTTCTTGGGATACATGTCTTGGCTAAAGAATGATAGATGCAATTGTTCATTTTGACATGGGAGTTTCTGCTTGGGCAGGTCAGTTGATTCCCATTTAAATTCATACTTCCCCCCACCCCACATTCCTAGAGGAAAGCAGTGAACATGATCAGACGATTGTTTGTTACCTTTAATATCATAGAACATTAATATGTGACATTCTTTACTATGATGTGGTGAGTATGTTAAGAATCACAATATCTGTTCTTTCTGAATGTCTAGGTATGCCAACCAGCAGTTCACTACGTGTATGTCAACATTTGCCTCAATCATCAGAGAGAAGAAAAGAAGGGAAAATGGGGCTACTAAAGTTCTTCAAATTGTTTTTCAGAATCATCTTGATAATTATTAGTAAGAAAGAATGGAAATAAATCAGTCAAGTGTTACAACATTCATTCTTTTGGGATTCAGCAATCTTCCTCAGATGAGAATATTCCTCTTTATATGTTTTTTTATTATATATACTGTGTCCATTGTGGGGAACCTACTTATTGTTTTACTCGTTGTAGCTGACCAGCATCTTCATACCCCCATGTATTTCTTCCTCATTAACTTGTCTTGTTTGGAGACCTGTTACATTTCAAACATCCTGCCCAGGATGCTGGCTAGTTTTGTAACTGGGGATCAATCTATATCTGTTTATGGATGTATGACACAATACTACTTCTTTGGTTTCTTAGCATCTACTGAATGTTATCTTCTGGCAATGATGTCTTATGATCGATATTTAGCAATATGCAAACCATTGCATTATACCACTCTCATGAATGGTAAACTCTGTCTCCAATTAGCCCTCACATCTTGGATGAGTGGTTTGTTGACCAACACCATCATAACTGTTTTTCTGGTACAGTTAACTTTTTGTGGACCCAGTGAAATTGACCATTTCTTTTGTGATGTGTCTCCAGTGGCTAATCTTTCCTGCAGCAATACAGACAGGGTAAACCTTGCTACATTTATTCTAGGATTCATGGCTATAGGGCCCCCATTTCTCCTAACGATAGCCTCCTACATCTATATTCTTTACACTGTATTGCAAATGAAATCTAAAACAGCACAGCAGAAGGCTTTCTCGACCTGTTCTTCTCATCTCATTGTAGTTTCATTTTTCTATGTTTCATTATTCCTTGTCTATGTTGTCCCTGAAACAGAAAGACTGAAGGAGCTACATAAAATCTTTTCTCTGTTCTACACTGTCCTGACTCCAATGCTCAACCCCATCATCTACAGTTTGAGAAACAGAGAAGTGAAGGAAGCCCTCTTTAAAACTGTTAGAAAGTACAGCAGTAGAGTTTTATAGTATCAAAATATCTCAATGGCTGTAGTGAACTACAGTTTAAGATGGGGCATAGCAGTTTTGTTGCTATGGGGGCTAATGTGCCCAAGGAATCCTTCCTTGATGTATCCCAGATCCTTTACCTTATTTTACCTTCAATATTATTTTAGTATTTAAAATAATGTGTCCACCTCTGGCATCAGCTTTATTTCAAAACAGTCTCTGGCCCTGCATAGTCCTAATGTAAAGTTCATACTTTGGTTTAAAAGTGTTCATTCCCACCCATCCTTACAAAAGAGTCACAATATGGAGCATCTTGGGAGAACTAAAATGTATGTAGGCACTGTTATTGATGTTGCCATGTTATTATTGTGTATATTGTTTATATTATTATTGTTACTATTGTGATAAAGATTTATTATTTTATGGATTATTTTTATTCTATACCTCCTTTGTAAGGGGTTTAGATTTTTTTTTTAGTGTAAATAAGACACTTGTAAATAAAGAAAGAAAATGGAAGGGAACATTTTGGTAACTGGTAAATTGGTTGGCTGTATCTGTTCCTGGTCACCCTGGCAGCCATTTTATGAATCACCATGTTCCTCCATGGTAATAATTTCATGAAGCATTTAAAACATTCTCACAGAATTACAAATAGGCTTGCTAGTTCAAATGTGTGTATATCCCTACTGTACAATTTTCATATCTGAAAAAGCATGTGGTGTTTTGCGTCAAGAAGCCCATTTTAACTGTAACTTTATTAGTCATGCATTTGAAATGGGCGGCCATGTGAATTTAATAAATAAATAAATACAATAATAAGCTTTTTATTTCTTATTTTATTTATTTACGATTCAAGACCAAGCCACAAAATTTAAAATACAACACACCATTCATACTTAGGTATATAATAATGCATATGTATATAAGAGGAAGGCACTCTATAAAATTAGCAATTCACTGGAGGTACCAAATGGTTTCTATAAACTAAGGCTATAGATAAAAAAAATTGCTACTGCCTTTGAAACACCTGGGTATTGCTCATTTAGTAAGAATACTTCAACCTCCTCTTCATGAGTGGAGTCTATCAGGCTCAAGAAGGGTGTATTAGTTCTGATTGCCAATGAGAGTACAGTGGGCACTTTAGAAGGATGTGTGAAGCAGACTCAAGCTCTCTCTTTCAACAAATACATACTCAATCTTCATATGGAAGTTTGGCATATCAACCAGCTGTCATCCTAGTAGGAAGAGCATCTATACAGGCTAGGGAGAAGACCCTTCTATGTGGGGCAAACAGAATCGTATAGATGTAATTGGGGAGTGTCTAAGGGGAGAGAGCAATTCCTCTGTAAGGAAGATGGGAAAGTTTGGCTCTGACTACCTGAATGCCTAAATCCCCTACTCTCTGCTTAAGTTCTACCGAGGCTTTTCTAGGTCCAAAGCAAGTAGGGCTGATATTGACAGTCCACATTATCTCAGATCTTGGTCTATTTATTTTTTGTGTGTTTGTTTGATTGATTTTTTGTTTTCAGAATTGACTGATGTATATCATATGGAATGAGCTGTACCAATGAGGTTCCCCAAATGATTTGTTTTCCCCAGACTCTTTGCTGACATAATCTTGCTCGGGTCTCAAATGAGATGCAGCCTAGCTCTAATCTGGTGATCATAGTAGGGGTCTTAAGGAACTCTCGGGGTACTGTGCTAAAGAATGACTTGAAATAAGCTACCAAAAATCAAAATTTTGGTCTTTTCCAGAAGACACTCTGATAATCCATCAAGCAGGTAAAATCATTTAAATACCTAGGTAGTTGCTTTCAATCTTTTACATGCTGAGGTCATCAAATAAGAGAGTTAGCTATAAAAGCTCAAAAAGTATGTCTAGCAATCAACAAATTTTCTAGTTGGTGAGAGAACAACTTTGTCCATGCAGAAATTAAAGCATTCAAGGCCAAAGTCCTTGGCATGATGCTGTACTGATCTCAGATATGTATTTACCAAAACTTCTCAACCTTTGAACAAATACAAATAAAATACTTAAATTCAATAGGACATATTCCTTACTTTGCTTCAATAATAATTCAATAAAAGATTTTATTGCCAGTTTGATGTAGTGGTTAAGATGCTGGCCGAGAATCACTCATAGGAGACTCTGAGTTCTAATCCTGCCTCAGGCATGAAAGCCAGCTGGGTGACTTTGGGTCAGTCACTCTCCACCCAACCCACCTCACAGGGTGGTTGTTGTGGGGAAAAAAGGAGGAGGAAGGAGTATTATGTATATTCACCACTTTGAGTTATTTATAAAACATAATAAAGGCAGGATAAAAATCTAATAAATAAATAGATAATAACAATAACCTGAGCATATCAATTGTTTTTTCCTCTAATTTTATGTAAATATATAGTAAAATACCCAAAATTCTAATTGGACCTTACAGGATCATTTTCTACTTAGAAATAAGTTGTATTCATACAAAATAAATACCTAGTACATTTGATGAGGGACTGGTGTTTGTCATTGCTCCTAATTTCACAAAGCTGACATTTTGTTTTTATCCTTACTTACTAATTACTGTACAAGAGTGGGAAACTTACAGTTTTTCTTTCTTTCAGAAAAAGAGAATTTCTATGCAGTTCTCATGAGTGGCATACGGTGTTCATGCACTGATGGAGTTACAAAATGGTCAAGGGAAGTGTATGGATGTCCTGTCTTTCATTGTACATTCCACTCTCTAGTGGTCTGCAACTTCCTTGGCTCCCTACGATTTAGTTATATCTTGTATGTATAATACCTCAGTGTAAGTGAAGTCTGTGATCTTCTTCTGATAACTCTGTTCTAAAAGAAGAGCCTAACCATTGTGTCCCCAAGATGGTGATCCTCGTCTGAATAAATCAGAAGCTCACAATGTTGCCTTAATGAATGTACCACATAATCAATAATGATTTGTGAAGACATAAACTGCAATTCGTGACAGCATGTCCTCCCTGAAAAGTTCTATTTGGTCAGTCAGGTTGAAGACCTTCTATTTGGTCATAGGTTATTGGGGCTATTTGGGAGCAAAGGATGAAATTTTTCTATCTCAGATAACTAGTAAATTGGTGCACCATTTGGGTTTTGTTTCAGTGTATGTGTTTGTGTGTTTTAAGAACAGGGAAAAGCACAGGGAAAGGGATGTTCTTTGGACTTTCAGGCCTAGGAACAGATGGAGAGAATGGTTAGAACCTATACAGATATTTCACATATTCCTGAAACAATCTTGCCTTGCAAAACATCTTATATTACTGGACAATTCCACTGTTGATTTTCATGACTTGCAGTCCTAAATGGTGGGATACTATCTGATCAAAGAATTTGTATCAAATTTACCCCATTTTTTTCCCAGGATAGTATATATGGTAAATACCATCAATACAACAAATACAAAAACAACCATAATGAAATATGGCACAGTCTAACAGCATAAAATAATACACCAGTTATAGAGAGGGTAAAATTATGAAACACAAACTTACACATTGAAAGAACAAATATTATACAAGAGCTAAATTTGAAATTTTGATCCGCTAATACACTGAAAGGAAACACGTGACTCTTAATGACTTCTAGGAGGAACTGTCAGTTTACTGCAAACTCATTTTAGAATTTTGCAAACAACTTTGCTTTTCAAAATGTAGATGAGAGCTGAAGCAGTCAGGAAGATACAAAAAAATGGTGAAGATTTTTTTGAAGTGGCTTAGAGCAGGAGTATGTGACACCATATAGACAATTATTTTTATTTTTTAATTTATTTTTTGTGCCATCAGGTCAGTCTTATCTCCTGGCGACTACATGAATAAATCCATGAACTTTTCTTGGTAACCATTTTCAGAAGTGGCTTGCCATTGCCTTCTTTCTAGGGCATAGAGAGAGTGACTGGCACACTAGAACTCATTGTTTCCTGCTTTCTAGCCTGCGGCCTTTAACCATTACACCAGACTGGTTCTCTGAAAGTGAATAATGTGCCATAAAAGAAAGACACAGAAATAGATAAAACGAGCAGGTTGAAAATGTTTTTCACCTGCCAGTAGTGGACTGGATTTTTATAATTCTGGCAATGATGATGCAAACATAAGAGATGCTGGGAGTCAGGCAGCCTTTAAATTTAATAAGTTGTTATTTCTCAAAAACAGCATTTTGCTGGAGATGTAATAAGGACAATCCCTCTTTAAAACATATGTTCTTACAATGTCCTATACTTACTAAGCTTTGGGAGAAAGTAGTGGACTATATAAATATGATGGTGCAA